GGCATGGTATCATTCGATTGACATGGGAGCCTTTGATTGGCATGGTATCATTCGATTGACATGGGAGCCTTTGATTGGCATGGTATCATTCAATTGACATGGGAGCCTTTGATTGGCATGGGCGCCTTTGATTGACATGGGAGCCTTTGATTGGCATGGTATCATTCGATTGAAATGGGAGCCTTTGATTGACATGGGAGCCTTTGATTGACATGGGAGCCTTTGATTGACATGGGAGCCTTTAATTGGCATGGGAGCCTTTGATTGACATTGGAGCATTTGATTGCCTGTGGAATATTTCCTTGACATGGGAACATTTGATTGACTGTGGAATATTTTATTGACATGAGAGCATTTGATTGACTGTGGAATATTTCATTGACATGGGAGCATTTGATTGACAGTGGAATATTTGATTGACAGGGGAACACTTGATTGCAAGTGTAATATTTGATTGACAATGGAATATTTGATTGCGAGTGGAACATTTGATTGATAGTCGAACATTTGATTGACATGGGAACAGTTGATTTATGGGGAGAACATTTGATTGACAATTGATCATTGGAGTTTCAGGAGGGGGTGAGGTTAATTTAGAATCGATATTTTCTTCAAATCCGTTGTTGTTTTTTTTTAAAAGTCGATTGGGTAATTGATTTCATTATTTTACTCTAAATCAATCTGGGGCTATCGATCTCCTCCGATGTCCTTATTAAAAGAGCAGTGAAGAGAAACAAAGGATAATTGCTATGAGAGACGGTCGCAGGCCTTGGGGAATGAGCAAAGAGAACATTAAACAGCCATAAAATAACCAGCGGCTCCTCGTAGCGCGCGTAATAAAGGGGCGTATCTAACTGAGCCGTGAAGAATCATTCCAATGGAAACTATTTCAAGCGAAGAACGCTCTCGGCCCCCATTATAACAAACGCAGAGAGTCGGCCACAGTTTGTTTCCAGCCGGCTAGAAAGATGACTACTTTCTACTACAGCGCGATCATGCCGTCCACCGATGAAGTCAAACGAAATCTCAAATTAATGCCAAATAAAGATTCAATCACATCACTTAAAAAGAAAAAGGAAAGAGTCATTCTGTACGTTTTTTGTTTTGTTTGTTTTTTGTTTTTTTTTGCTTTTTGAAGACAAGTTGGTGCGGTGCGGGCAGATCATACTTATTGGACAATGAGCCCATATCAATTTAAGAAAACAAACAAATTATATATCTTAGGTCACCGGCTGCAGCAACTATCACATGCCCGCGGTGCCAGAGATTTGTCCGAGCACGGATCGGTCTAGTAAGCCACCTACGAGCTCACCGTAACCCACCCTCCCCTTAACCGGATGACTCGATGGTCCTAGTCGACTTCGACTGACGAACAACAATATATACAATAGACTCATTGCCGACAACACATTCTTTGAACTTTTCAGCCCCAGCTCCAACCCCCAAAAATTATTTTTTTCCTATGTTTCAAAGGCAAGATGAGGGGGAAAATGATGACACTGATTTCACTGAACTACCTACTTATTCCCGAAAACTGCGCTGAATCAGATGATTTTTTAAATTGTATTATTCTTATTTTTTTTTTTATATCGCAAATGCGTCTGGCGCGTAATATTTTTTGATGCGTTTCTGAGATAGTTGGTGAAACAAATAAAAGATTTAATTGAACACATTCACATGCACCAGAGTTGGGGCAGATCAGCATGCATCATTGTTAGCTTAATTCAGTGGAAGTGAACTAACTCACAAGAAAACCTATATTTAAAATAAAAAAAACACACGCACACGAATTCCTTGTCCGGCTCACCGGCTTTCGCCCCCCCTCCCCTTTTTCAAGTGACGCCTATGGCACGAGCTGTCACTTGATACGCCTGTGCATCGTTAATTATGGGACGAGTGGTCATCTGACACCGCGCGCTCCCACCTTATTTTTCAGGCTTGAGTTCCCCGGATGCTAGGAATAGCTTCGAGCCCCATTTTCATGACTCGCTCGCGTCTTGTCCGGTTAATGTTACATCTGGAGGTGCGCTCCACTCAGAAGATGCGCTCACATCTTTCCTCGCCTTTGAAGGCTTCCCGTAACCTCTCAGTGCTCCGGCTTCACACGGTCCTGATCAGTAGCGTAACTGGGAGAACGGTGCGGGGGTTGCAGATCCCGGGTCGGACGGCACCATTACAATTGGGGGGGGGGGGGGGTGGAGTCGCGAAATGGAAAATATCAAATTTTGATAGCACTCGCTCGAGCCTGTTTTAAAAGAGGCATAACTTCAATACAAGAGCAGTGTGCCACCAGAGCAGGGGGCTACCAGAGCAGTTTGCAACCAGAACAGGTTTCCACCAGAACAGTGCCACGAGAACAGGATTCCACCAGAACACGATGCCCCCAGAATAGGGTGCCACCAGAGCAGAATGCCACTAAAGCAGTGTTCCACCATAGCAGGAAGCCATCAGAACAGTGTGCCAAAAGAAATGCCACAAGAACAGTGTGTCCCTAACCTAGAGCAGACAGACTCGAAAGCGGTCCATGGGGGAGTCTGGTGGACGGGGGTTGACGCCAACCCCAGAGACGCCACTGGGCATAGAAACAATAACTTATAAAGAAGTCAAGTGGAGGGCATATAATCACGAAACTTATAAATAAGTCAAGTGGAGGGCATATAAACACTAACTTATAAAGATGTCAAGTGGAGGGCATATAAACAATGACTTATAAAGAAGTCGATTGGAGGGCATGTAAACAATAACTTATGAAGAAGTCAGGTGGAGGGCATATAAACAATAACTTATAAAAAAGTAAAGTGGAGGGCATATAAACATAACTTATAAGAAGTCAATTGGAGGGCATATAAACATAACTTATAAGAAGTCAAGTGGAGGGCATATGAACATTAACTTATGAAGAAGTCAAGTGGGGGCATGTAAACAATAACTTTTAAAGAAGTCAAGTGGAGGGCATATAAACTTTAACTTTTAAAGAAGTCAAGTGGAGGGAATGTAAAAATAACTTATAAAGAAGTCAAATGGAGGGCATGTAAAAATAATTTATAAAGAAGTCAAGTTGAGGGCATGTAAACAATAACTTTTAAAGAAGTCAAGTGGGGGCATGTAAACAATAAATTTTAAAGAAGTCAATTGAAGGGCATGTAACCAATAACTTTTAAAGAAGTCAAGTGGGTGGCATGTAAACAATAACTTATAAAGAAGTCAATTGGAGGGCATGTAAACAATAACTTTTAAAGAAGTCAAGGGGGCATGTAAACAATAAATTATAAAGATGTCAGGTGGAGGGCATGTAAACAATAACTTATACAGAAGTCAGGTGCAGGGCATGTAAACAATGACTTATAAAGAAGTCAGGTGGGGGCATATAAACAATAACTTATAAAGAAGTCAATGGGGGACATGTAAACAATAACTTTTAAAGAGTCAAGTTGTTTGCATGTAAACAATAACTTTTAAAGAAGTCAGGTGGGGGGCATGTAAACAATAACTTTTAAATAAGTCAAGCAGAGGGCATATAAACAATAATTTTTAAAGAAGTCAAGTGGAGGGCATATAAACAATAACTTTTAAAGAAGTCAAGTGGGGGGCATGTAAACAATAATTTTTAAAGAAGTCAAGTTGAGGGCATGTAAAAAATAACTTATAAAGAAGTCAAGTTGATGGCATGTAAACAATAACTTTTAAAGAAGTCAATTGGAGGACATGTAAACAATAACTTATACAGAAGTCAAGTGGGGGGGGGCATGTAAACAATACCTTATAAAGAAGTCAAGTTGAGGGCATGTAAACAATAACTTTTAAAGAAGTCAAGTAGGGGGCATGTAAACAATAACTTATAAAGAAGTCGATTGGCGGGCATGTAAACAATAACTTTTAAAATAACTTTTAAAGAAGTCAAGTTGGGGGCTAGTAAACCATTACTTTTAAAGAAGTCAATGGGAGGGCATGTAAACAATAACTTTTAAAGAAGTCAAGTGGTTTGCATGTAAACAATAACTTTAAAAGAAGTCAGGTGGGGGGCATGTAAACAATAACTTTTAAAGAAGTCAAGGGGGGCATGTAAACAATAACTTATAAAGAAGTCAATTGGGGGCATGTAAACAATAACTTTTAAAGAAGTCAAGTGGTTTGCATGTAAACAATAACTTTTAAAGAAGTCAATTGGAGGACATGTAAACAATAACTCTGAGAGAAGTCAGGTGGAGGGCATGTAAACAATAAATTTTAAAGAAGTCAAGTAGGGGGCATGTAAACAATAACTTTTAAAGAAGTCAAGTGGGGGGCATGTAAACAATAACTTATAAAGAAGTCGATTGGAGGGCATGTAAACAATAACTTTTAAAATAACTTTTAAAGAAGTCAAGTTGGGGGCTAGTAAGCCAATACTTTTAAAGAAGTCAAGTAGGGGGCATGTAAACAATAACTTATAAAGAAGTCAGGTAGGGGGCATATAAACAATAACTTATAAAGAAGTCAGGTGGAGGGCATATAAACAATAACTTATAAAGAAGTCAAGTGGGGGGCATATAAACAATAACTTATAAAGAAGTCAAGTGGGGGGCATATAAACAATCACTTATAAAGAAGTCAAGTGGGGGGCATATAAACAATAACTTATAAAGAAGTCAAGTGGGGGGCATATAAACAATAACTTATAAAGAAGTCAAGTGGGGGGCATGTAAACAATAACTTATAAAGAAGTCAAGTGGGGGGCATGTAAACAATAACTAATAAAGAAGTCAAGTGGGGGGCATGTAAACAATAACTTATAAAGAAGTCAAGTTGGGGGCATGTAAACAATAACTTATAAAGAAGTCAAGTGGGGGGCATATAAACAATAACTTATAAAGAAGTCAAGTGGGGGGCATATAAACAATAACGTTTTTTTAAAAAAAGCGTGTACTCACAGTCTTGTGGTTTCCGGACTTATCCCTTTAGGCACTGAGGTCAAGTTCTGTCCGGAGCAGTCCACGGTGGTCCCACGGCACAGACATTTCCCGTGACACGTGACGGCAGGTGAGTTGTCGTTGAACTCCCTGACGTCTAGGATGGCGTGGTAGTAGCTGTCGAGGTAGCCTTGATCTTTCGCCGTCGGGTGGTCCAGGCCAGCCCTGTCGTAGGTGTCGGAGACCGGATCGTATTGTGCTGCCGCCGACCAGTCAGGATTGCCGTAGAGGTCAGACCTTTCCCGTCCCGGCCCGTCGCCTCCGGTCAACCACGGGAAGTTCCCGTCGCTCCAGAACGGGCTCTCGTATCCGGAGAACGCGTCGTCGATGGGCTGACCGCCACGGAAGAAACCAGCGTCCCATTCCTCGCCCTCGCGGTCCGCCCGATCTATGTCCGAGACGTCGGGGTTCTCGCTGAAGACGTCCAGCTCCGGAGAAGCTGAGACCAAACCCGTTGACCATCGCGGGGAGACGCCGAGAACCAGCATCAGCAACAGAGGGGTCAGACCAAGGGCCTCATTCATTTTGATTGGAGTCGGCTGTCTTCTGCCCTTAGACATCGCCAGGTGGCTTCAAGGCTGCCCGATTCTCATTGCGGTTGACAAATTAAATATGCAGGGGACGGTAAATGGATGGATAAACAATACAAAGGTCCTATTCCCATTATCGTCCAACGATTCTCTGTATAAACCAAAATAGATGATATATTCTCTATATAGATGACCTATATATATATATAAATATATATATATATATATATATAAATATATATTCTATATATATAATATATATATATATATATATATATATATATATATATATATATATATATATATATATATATATATCAAATATTATATATATATGATATTTTCTCTGTATAATCAATATAAATGATATATTTTCTGTATAGATGACCATATAGACGATAGATTCTCTGCATAGAGCACCAATATAGATTACATATTCTATGTTAAAGAGTAACAATATAGATCGTCTATTCTCAGTATATAGAACCAATATAGATGAAGTATTCTCTATGTCCTTTCAATGACCTATTCCTTTTATGGGCTGCCTAGTCCCCGTCTGTGGTCGTCATGACAGCACAACCCAAGCGTCTTTACTGCAGGATAAAAACAAGTCTACATAACTCCGACGAGACACACAGAGAGAGAGAGAGAGTGTGAGAGAGAGAGAGAGAGATTGAGGGGAGGGGGAGAGAGACAGAAAGAGAGAGAGAGTACACACCAAATGTTTTCTTTCCAGACCGAAGGGCACATGCCCAAATGGCCAATCTGGATGTGAATGATGATGATGATGTCTTTCAATTGAGATGCCGATAAATGATGTCATCGAGGTGAGACAAATCCTCCGGGTCAATGACAGCTTCCCCCCGATGTTTGTGATCGATGGTGACACTGGTGGCGCTGGTGGCGCTGGTGGCGCTGGCGCTGGTGGTGGTGGTGGTGTTTATTTTTCTGTGTTGAAACCGGCTCCACGGATTTCTTGATTTTTGTTGTTGTTGTTGTTGTTGTTGACTTAGTTGTTAATGTTGGCGTCAATTCACGGTCCCGCTTCAATCTGGGGAAGGGGGGGGGATATAAGAAGAAAACAGTTTATAAATAGATTTCGTTGTTACCATTATATATTTATTTTTGTAATTCAAAAGAATGTGTCCGAGAAATCAACTGATCGATTATGCGAAGGCTTCCTTCATCTCGGTGGGCCCGTTAGAAATGGTTTGATTAAAATTAAAGAAGGCAGGCGATATTTACAATACAATCATTGAAAAAAACAAAAAAAATCATCGATTATCTTAATCCTCCAAAGCCCACGGCGTTAATCCCCGGAGGCTTAAAAAAAAAAAGATTAAAATCCTAAACCAGTTGTTCCCCTTGTGCATAGTTCCCCCCCCCCTCTCCTCCATAGCCCTTCCCACTTTCCCCATTTTTTTTTTTTAATTTTTTTATTTTTTTTGCATACATTATTCGATTCCTTAGAAAGAGTCTGGTCTCAGAACACCAGGCCGTAGTTCACGACGCAAGTGGGCGCACTAAAGCCGGACTATATCGATCCGTTTCTAATAGACATTTTCGTCAGGGACTTCCCGTAATCGATTTCAGTGGATGACGTCATACCATTGAAATCATCAGAGTTGCCAAAAAAATATAAAAAAATAAAAAGATATTCATACTAATTTCAGTACAAAACGTTTTGCTAAAACAATTTGTTTCGTAAAGATTTCCGGATCCGATGATAAATGTCTTGATACATCTAGTGTTTTTTTAATTTTAGTTTTGCTTCAGTTGATCCTTCAAAGCATTATGATCAACATCTTTAAACATTGCAATGGAAAAAATATTGTTTTAAAACGACATTGCTTGCACAGGATGTTGCGTTGCAAATATCAATTACTTTTCCATCGCCTTTTGAAAATAAAGCAATATCCTCAGAGGAAAAAGGCGTAACTTTAAATTACGATAGTTCTGGGAAAACGGTTGCCGTTCAAGTCTCCTACTGAGAACGCCGCTGGGTGCATGCCTATGTTATCCTTATTGCTACCATGAGGTTGGTTGGCGGGGGGGGGGTTGGGGGGGAGTGGGGGAATACACACACAGAACAGCACACACAGAACAGTACACACATAACAGTACACACAGAAAAATACACAACGACCAGTACAAACAGAACTGTAAAAACAGAACAGTACACACAGAACAGTAATACACAGAGAAGTACACACAGAGCAGTACACACAGAACAGTACAAACAGCGTACACACACTGAACAGCACAGACAGGATAGTACAGCACACACGGAACAGCACGCACGAAACAGCCCGCGCAGAGCAGCAGTAGCAGAGCAGCAAACGCATTGCAGCACACACCGAACGTCACATACAGAGCAACAAATACAAGAATATCACATACAGAGCAACAAATACAAGAACTTCACATACAGAGCAACAAATACAAGAACATCACATACAGAGCAACAAATACAAGAACTTCACATACAGAGCAACAAATACAAGAAACATCACATACAGAGCAACAAATACAAGAACATCACATACAGAGCAACAAATACAAGAACATCACATACAGAGCAACAAATACAAGAACATCACATACAGAGCAAGAAATACAAGAACATCACATACAGAGCAACAAATACAAGAACATCACATACAGAGCAACAAATACAAGAAACATCACATACAGAGCAACAAATACAAGAAACATCACATGCAGAGCGGCACCGACAGAGGAGCCCACAACTAAACACACACATAATGTACACAGGCCAATACACACATAATGTACAGACACAGGCCAATACACACATAATGAACAGACATAGGCCAATACACACATAATGTACAGACATAGGCCCAATAACACATAATTAAAGACACAGGCTGATACACACATAATGTACAGACACAGGCCCGGGCGTTACACACATAATGTACAGACACAGACCCATACACAGATAATGTACAGACACATGCCCATACACACATAATATACAGACATAAACACATAATGTACAGACACAGGCCCATAAACACATAATGTACAGACACATGCCTATACACACATAATGTACACACACAGGCCCATACACACATAATGTACGCACACAGGCCCCATACACACATAATGTACGCACACAGGCTCATACACACATAATGTACGCACACAGGCCCATACACACATAATGTACAGACACAGGCCCATAAATACATTACATTCAATGTTTTGTTCGTCCATCTTTTATGTCATCTAAACTGTGGACGTTTACCCCGGCCTTCCCTAATCCCAAATCACCTTAATGCTTCAAGCGTGAACCCTTGAATGCCCATGACACATGCAGACGTAGGCCCATACCCCACACTACATTCAATGTGTCGTCCGTCCATCGTCAATGTCATCTAAACTCTAGGCGTTAACCCCCGGCCTTCCCGAAGCCCAACCATTTCAACGCCTCTTCCGTTCTGCATCCGTTCACCGCAGGATGTAACCCAACTTTTCCTCATCTTCAAGGCTTACACAGATACTTTCTGACAAGTTGTTTCGCGTTCACAAACGTACGGCAGTAGATGTACACCTGTGAGGTGGCTCCTCGGTGTTGCGCGTGACCCCCTTTAGTTTTTTTTTTTGGGACTCCGTTAGTTTTGTCTGCGACTTAGCTAATTTTTGGTGTTAGCCCACGGCACTAATTTCTTGCACAAACACACCAGGGAGAGCGTGTAAATGGAAAGAAAATTTATTCAGCTTTTCGGTACCATATCTCCACATAGTATTAGTAAAATACTCTCTTGCAAATGTTTCTCAATTTCCCTGTTTTTTTTTGTGTGTGTTTTTTTTTCTTTTTTTATACTTAGGATGTAATGTATGCCTAAATATTTTGGTCCGTTAAGATTCTCTACCTTATTTTTCACAGTACCAATATTTATATTCTTTCACTTCCTGTAATCCTACTTCCGGCAACAAAAGGAAATCTCTAAAGTTTTTTTTTTACTGTGATCTGACACTTGTTATACTTCTTTTTGTCTTGTTTTTTGCTGCACAGTTAAGTCCGGCAAGACGGGCACAGTTAAGCCTGGCAAGACGGCCACAGTTAAGATCTAACAAATCTTGTTAGAGTGATCTTTCCCATCCCACCTACCCTCCCACCTCCCCCCCCCCCACCCTTTCCCCACAAACGCTCACTTCTAAAGGGCTTGATTTGAACAACTCCATGATCTGTTCTCCGACGAATGCGAATAAATAAACCATATTCTTTTTGTCTTGTTTTTTGCTGCACAGTTAAGTCCGGCAAGACGGGCACAGTTAAGCCTGGCAAGACGGCCACAGTTAAGATCTAACAAATCTTGTTAGAGTGATCTTTCCCATCCCCCCTACCCTCCCACCTCCCCCCCCCCCACCCTTTCCCCACAAACGCTCACTTCTAAAGGGCTTGATTTGAACAACTCCATGATCTGTTCTCCGACGAATGCGAATAAATAAACCATTCTCATGGCAGCAATCACCCCAGCTTAAGTGTCCCTCCTATACACACGTGATATATGCACACACGTTAATGCCGTGATTAGTTAAATACGAGATCGGCTTTTAGGATGCTAGCGGTGTTGTTGTTTTTTTTTAAAATTATGTATCATTGGAATTACCTTCAGCGCACTTGGCACTCAGTGCGTCTCGTTAAACAATGAGTAGCAACACTCTCTCGTTCCAACCGACTTTATTATGAGTAGATTAGGGCCGAGTGCTAGGGACGTCTGAGGGAGGGTGGGGCAGGGGGGGGGGCGTGTGTTCGTGAGAATAGGTGGGGCTGAGGGGGCGGTCGGCCACGGTTAATGATTTCTCTATATATTAAATAGGAAAAGGGGGGGTGCACAAATATAAGCCGCCTCGGGTGGCAACCACCCTAGCTACTCCATTGCTGGGGGTTCATGATGCGGTGGGAGCTATTGGGGATTGACAAAATATAGCCTTAGAGCAGGGTACACTAAAAAAAA